CGTCCCTCCTTCCCTCCATTCCCTTCCCTCCATCCTCCTCTCCCCCCCCTTCCCTCCCTCCTCTCCCCTCCTTTCCCTCCTCCCTTCCATCCTACCTCTTCCCCCCTTCTTCCCCTCTCCCCCCCCCCTCTCGGTACTCCTCCCCCCCTTCCTCCTTCCTCTCCCCCCCCTTCTCCCTTCTCCTCCCCCCCCCCCCACCCCTCCACCCCCCGGCGTCCTGGCTTTGTGCCCTGGGGCGTGTAACGGGCGGAGCGCAGCCGTTTAATGTGTTAAAAAGCGAAGACAGCAAAGGGGTAATTACGGCTTAAGACGCTCGCTCGCGTAAGGGTTTCCAGGTGGAGGTTGGAGTTGGAGTTGGGGGTTGGAGTTGGAGGTTGGAGGTTGGAGGTGGGGGGTGGAGGATGGAGTGGGGGTTGGAGGTGGAGGTTGGGGGTTGGAGGTAAGGTTGGAGGTGGGGGTGGAGGTTGGAGGTTGGGGGTGGGGGGTTGGAGGTTGGATGGGTGGGGGTGGAGGTTGGAGGTTGGAGTTGTGGGGTGAGGTGGGGGTGAGGTTGGAGGTGGAAAGGTGGTGTTGGAGGTTGGAGGTTGGGGAGTTGGGGTTGGAGGTTGGTTGGAGGTGGAAGTTGGGGGTTGGAGGTTGGAGGTTGGAGGTGGGGGGAGGTGGGAGGTTGGGTTGGAGTTGGAGGTTGGAGGTGGAGGTGGAGGTGAGGTGGAAGGAAGAAGAGGAAGAGTAGAAGTAGGAGAAGAAGGAGGTGGAGAGGGTGATGGTCGAGGAAAAAGAAAAAGAAAGAGAAGAGGGACAAGAAGAGGATGAGGAGGAGGGAGATAAAGATGAAGTGTAGAAGGAGCAATAGAGAGAGAAATGAGGAGAAGAAGGAAGCAGCTAAGAATGAGGATGAGAAAAGAAGGATGCTAAATTGAAGAAGAGGAGGAAGGAGATAAAAAAAGGAACTGGAGACAGATTAAGAAAAAAAAATGAAGCAAAAGATTGAAGAAAAGGTGGGAGAAGAAAGAGATGGAATAGGAGCAGAAAGAAGAAGAAAGAATACGAAGTGGAGGAGAAGGAACAGGAGGAAGAGGAGGTGGAAAAGGAGTGGAAGAAAGAGAAAAGAATACGAAAAGGAGGAGAAGGAAGAAGGAAGAGGAGGAAGAGAAACCTCTAATGGAAAGAGCTTTTGAGATCTCTAAGGCGCTCTTTAGGGGGGGGGAGGGGGGAGTGCGGAGGGGACGAGAAGGCGAAGGATGTGCTTGAAAGGTGGCAGAGGAGGAGGAGAGGAGGAAGGAAGGAAGGAAGGAGGTGAGAAGGAGAAGAGAGAGAAGAGGAAGGAAGAAGGAAGGAGATGAGAAGGGAGAGAAAAGAAGGAAGAGATGAGAAGAAAGAGAGGAGGAGAGGAGGAGGTGGTGGCAGGAGGAGAGGAGAAGATGATAAGAAGGAGGAGGAGGATGAGAAGGAGATGGAAGGAAGAGTAGAGGAAGGAGGAGGGTGTGGGTGGGTGGGGGGGATAAGGGGGAGTGAGTGATTGGTAATGGCGGCGACGAGGATTTTCAGCCTCCACCCTTTTTCGCGAATCGTTTTATCTGGAGGATTAGTCATTTCGGGGATTTGGAAAGGGGGTGTCTGGAGGGATTGGGGGGAGGGGGGTAGTTGGCTGGAGTGTGCGTGGGGGGGGAGTGTGCGGGGAGGGGTTGGAGAGTGCGGGGGAGGGGTGGTTGGAGGTGCTGGGGGAGTGTGTGGTTGGGGGGGGGATGGGTTGGAGTTGCGGGGAGTGGTGGTGGGTGCGTGGGGGGACGGTGTAAGGGGAGGAGGTGGCTGGAGTGTTGGGTGGGGTGGGGTGGAGAGAGTAAGAGTGTAAGGGGAGGAGGGAGGAGGGATAGGGTTGTGGTGGCGAAAAGGATTAGAGAAGAGAAAAGGGTAGAAAAAAAAAAAAGAAAAGAGAGAGCGAAAGAAAGAAATCGATGCAAACGGGAAAATGGAGAGAAAATAGAGAAAGAGCAGAGGCAGAGAAAACAAAGATAAAATAAAGGGATATAAATAAAAGGAGAAATATAGCAGTAAATTAATAGAGAGACAGACAGATAAGACTAAATATAGGAAAAGTAGAGAGAGAGAGAGAAAAAAAGAAACAAACAAGCAGACACACAAAAAAGCATAAAACAAACACAAAGAGAAAGAGGTACAAACAAGAAACAAAACACGAAGGGAAACAAACAAGAAACAAAGACAAAAAGAAACGAAAAGAAAAAACCTACCACCTCCCTCCCCCCCCCTTAGAAAAATCCAACGGAAGAGAGAGAGAAGAAAAGAAAAATAAGCAAAAGATAAAAAAAAAGAGATAAGCAAGAGAGAGGGAGAGAAAAAAAGAGATAAGCAAAGGAGAATAAAAAAGGAAAAAAGAAAAGCAAGAGAGAGAAAACAAAAGAGAAAAGCAAGATAGAAAAAAATAGAAGCAAGAGAAAAAAAAGGAAAAAAAAAGACATAAGCAAGAGAGAAAAAAAAAAGAAAAAAAGAAAAGCAAGAGAAAAAAAAAAAGATAGAAACAAGAGAAAAAAAAGATAAAAGAGAGAAGCAAGGGAGAGAGACAAAGGCGGCGAGGGCGGGCGGCGGCACGGGCGTAAGAAGCGCCCGAGGAAGACAGGTGCTCAAAGACTAAGCTTAATAGCATTAACCTGTAATACGATTGTGGTCTCTCGTCGCTGTCATTATCGTCATTAACGTCTTTTTGGTGGCAAACCCTTTTTTCCCTCCCCCTCCCCCTCCTCTCTCCCCCCCCCTTTTTTTTCTTTTTTAAGACCTTGTGAAAGAAAAGTTTTTTTTTTTTTTTTTTTTTTTTTTTTTTTTTTTTTTTTTTTTTAAGACCTTGTGAGGAAAAAGGGGGTAGGGTGGTGGAGGGGAAGGGGAGGGGGGGTAGAGTGAGCCATGAGGATTAAGGATTTTTTGTGTTTTTTCTAGAATTTGGGATCTTTTTCTTTGTTTTGTTTTGTTTGTTGTGCTAAACGCCCTGGATGATCGGATTATTTCTGATACTATTACAACGAAAAAATGTTATTTTACTATTAACATTAAACTACTATTATATTATTACTATTAGATGCTATTACACTAAAATCTGATGAAATTTTATGATGTAATGAGAAATACTATTACTATTATTATATATTACTGTTAATACTATTACTACTAAATCAGATGATAATTTATGGTGTAATGGAGAAATAGTATTACTCTTCTATTACTTTACTGATAGATACTATTACCTTCTAAAATCTTTGATGATTAATATGATGTAATGACGATTAGCAACGTCAGTAATAATATGTTACTAGTTCTGAATAAGATTGAGGATGAAAGATGATTGATGAAGAGTTAAACTAATTAATACAAGAATGATATATATAATGATAAATTCGGTTCTATTCATTTCATTATTACTTCAG